TTACTAATATCCTGTCATGACAGTTTTCACTATTAATTTTTTTTACATAATATAAATGGGTATAGCTTAGCAGCTCTAATAGGTAAAATAATGTGTTTTGTACAGCTTATAGGTCCAGTTCTAAACCCCGTTTCGCTTTCTTTCTTACTATGATGAATCTGAAGAACATAATAAACAGTTTATCATAAATGCATTCACCAAACGTGTGCTCCAAAACGATACCCCAAAAAAAAAGAACTAACTTCAGATACCACGGGTTATACCTCCACATAATACACAGGTTCCATAAGCCTGGGTGTCGCCATAAGGAAAGAAGAGTAGGCTACACGTCGTGCAGTTGGAATAATCTGACCTGTTCCACGATTAAGTGGCTCAAAGTGCAATCTTTGCACTCAACTATTTTGAATTTAACATTTCTAATGGGCTCATACACATAGGGGTCCTTCCCGAGCTCCCCATTGAAACCTGTTAAAATTTTGTTAGTCCAATATCTCACAAAGGAAAGAAAGCATAAAACTAAGATCAAGTTACCCCTGAACAATAGAATCTTTAACAGCATTCAACAAGCTCTTGTCCACTTCACTGGAGAGTGTATCATCCAATAAGATGTTAGGTCCCTGCAAATACATTTGAAGTGTCAAAACGGAAAACTTATGTTCAACTAAACAATAGAAGCAATCCATTAGAAAATGTTCAAAATAACCAAGTGGTAAAGCATCTAAGCCGATGCAACCCTGACCTGCTTATCAGGTCCAAATGCCCAAATAGATCGTGCAGAAGCAGATCCCAGTCATATTTGGTTTGTGAAAAAAGTCACAAGTTTCTTTCTAGGCCAATCTATGCTTACAACACTGTTTCCCGATGTCCTCAGCAAGTCCTCTCTCTAATGGTTCCGCAATCTACACGCAATATAAGTGAGCAAGGAGGGAAACAATTTTCTCAGCTTGCACATATCAAAAAATTAACAGACTGTCTCACCATGGTGATTTTATTTTTCTTATTAGGTGTTTCAGCAAAACATTTCATTGAAACGGACTCCACTACAGTTCGCAGAATGAAACAACTGGATCAGCCACCTGAATATTGCACACACAAACGAAAATGCACCTCGAGATCAGTCAAGTTTAACAAATGAATCCTTAATGTCAATAAAGTTTGGATTTGTCCTGAAACAAGGAGAGAACTGACAAAGGTGAATGTATGAAGAGAGAGTTATAAAAGCACCTTCACTTCCACCTCGGAGTAAAGCCCCTAAGGTCCTTCATTATGGAATCTAGGTACAATTCACCAGTACCCAATATTGTGTGTTCACCAGACTCTTCAACCTTTGTGATTGCAAGAGGATAACTCTTGCTGATTTTCCTAAGCCCCTCCACCATTTTGGGCAACTCGCTAGGATTCAAAGGCTCAGTTGCTGTTTTCACCACGGGAAGAGTATTGAACTGAAGGGGCCGGAATATGTACACATCCTCGCCAAATTCCGAGTTACAAAGAGTAGCAGTTTTCATGATTGAAGCATCCACTCCTTCAATCAACACCCAAGCACCTGGAGGAGCCTTACTTATGGGTATCCTGTATCGAGCTTGATATACCCACAGCTTTGTGACTTCTTTAACAGTCATATCCTCTTCATCCTCAGGTGAATAGCCCTCTCCAAAACGCGTACTGTCTGCCCTGCCATTATTTCCCCGCTGTAAACCCTACCGAAAGCATCAAAACACTACCAATCCGATTTGGGATACAGCTTGGTCACATTAACCATCAAAGGGCCAGCGGAGTCACAATTTTCCATTGCTTTGTAAATTGCTGAATCCTTGGACCGTGTTATATGTGCTCCACTTTCCTCAGCTGCAGCAGCTTTTAGCAGAAGGAATGTGATGAACCACCATGTCAGTAAAGCCAGTGGCAGTGCCAAAAACAGCACTACAAGCCAGCCTCAGAAGAGGGCCTAACATTTAGGCGGTAAGCTGCATTGCCAAGCGTCACAACCAAGTTCTGCCAGGGTTGCCTTTCAACACTCTTCTTGTGCTCTCCAATCACTTGGCTATAGATTTTGTAAAGAGGTTCAAGAACGAACTGCACAAAAGATCTTTCGACCCACTTGCAGGTGTTTTTCTTTTGAAACTTCTTGTGTCAGGATCAAAGTAGAAGTCCCCCCAAAGCCGCGAAGCAAACTTGTTGGCATCAAATGCAACTCCATGAAGCTTAACATACAGTTTGGCAAATGACTGCAGTGTGAACGACCACCTGCTGTTGTTGCAAAGCAGACATTCCCTAACGCAGGATCGAATACTTGTGCATTTCAGCTATGGACGAGGCAAGCTGTAACTTGATTGTTGACAGCTTCATTATGTGCTTTAATTTGAAGTAGCATCCTTTGGAGGCAATTTAAGCTCAGTTATCAGTCTGTTCAACCTAAAAGGACAACAAAAATTATTAGAGGAAAATAACTGTATCTCAACATTGAAGACACTTAATATTTTTCACTAGTTTTATGTATAGGCAAGATACCTTGTTAATCACAAGAACAATAGGAATACGTTCTTGAATCGCATGCCGAATGGCCCGTTCTGTATTTACCTGTCACCCATGACACAAGCAACAATTGTAAGTGATCTACCTATCCAGTGCGCATATACAAGATAAAGTCCAAATAGAGCTCAATGATAGGAATACAGCTTTCAAAAAATAAATCGAAAGAAGAAACGACACAACTGCCCCACCCAGCTACGTCTACCTGACTTAAGTCGAATCCAACTTAAACCCCACCCATCCCCCGTATGAGCCCCAATATTTTGATAATACATCTGCTTAAACTGCAAAGCTTCCCAGAAAACACACAGAGCTTTAGCAGCTTACATCAAGACGGAGAGATAATCACCCGTCCTGTATGTCTGCAAGTGGATTAATCGTAGAAATAAGAAGGAAATTACCATCACTCCTTCAACAGCATCAACAATCAAAACTGCACCATCAGAAAGTCTCAAAGCAGCTGTCATCTCATCCGAGAAGTTGACATGACCAGGAGCATCCATAATGTTGCAGAGGTAAGACTTTGAATTGCTGTCTTCCAGGACGAGTGACATAGGGACAGACTTAATTGATATCCTCCTTTCTTGCTCATCTATTCTTGTGTCTGTATACCTCATATGCTTCTCACTATTCTGATCAAAAGTAGATATATGGTGGGTTTGCTCCACCAGCATATCCATAAACAAAGTCATCCCGTGATACACGTGTCCCACTAAAGCAACATTTCGAACCAATGCTGGGTTCAACATCAGACCTAAGAGAAATTGAGTCGAAACATAGGTGGACGAATCCTTTACCCCAAGTTCAAACTTGAGATTCTTCACCGGTTTAATTATCGGCATTTCAAGAGGCTGTTCATCTTCATCCATCACCAATGTCTCGACCTCTTCACCGTAAACCTCTTCGGCTGTTGGGTAGTATTTCTTGTCTTCAGCAAGGACAACTTGGTTATCCATGTCAACATCCTCTTGAGTGGCCAGCCATCCATTCGATGCACCAGGTTGCTCGCCATCAGATGCAGCCCTCTCATCATCACTTCTCTCAGGGAGCTCCTCATCTTCCTCTTCCCTATCACTTTCCTGATCAGACTCAATTTCAGGACCGATATAGTTCCCAAATTCATCGTATAAACTTTCATCCATGGATCTTTACTACCTGATTAGAAGAAAAAATCACCCATCTTATTAATTGTCCAACTAAAGCAAACAAAAAATCAACGGAAAAAAAACAATTTTCACCAAAACAAGCTATGCAATGGAGCATTTATGCACAGGTGAAACTTAGCAAAACAAAATTCCCAAAACATCTTATCAAACTAAACTATTTCATTGTTAATTTTGTTATTCCAAGATAGGTTTAAGTTATTTCTGTGAAGTTTAACCTGTGATACAGGTTGGTTATAATTTTTACTAGGTTACCAATTAATTTTGTATATTGTACATTATATGTGATAATAGTAGGGGTGGCAAAATGGTTCAAAGAAAACAGTTAACCACCCATATTATCCACTAAAAAATGGGTTGGATAATGAATTTTTTTAAAACGGATCAAATATGGATAAGAACCATATTATCCATTTAGAAGATGGATAACCAATGAGTCAAACTTTTACATTTGTAAAGCCTCAAATTGGAGGTTACTCAAGTTAGGGAGACTAAGACTTCTCCCAAAAGTGATCATATACAAGAAGTCATGGATAATATGGGTAACCCATATTATCTGCCGGTTAACCTGTTTTTTATCCGTATTAAATATGGGTCGGGTCAGATAATTGATCCGTTTTTTCATTACCCGTTTTCGACCCGAACCATATCCGATCCGACCCGCTCGTTTGCCACTCCTAGATAATAGGTTAGTTACCATTTTTACAAATTAATGATTATCATACAGATTTACCTATAATAACCTTATAAATGACCTGATTGTATAAATACTTTTTATATTGTCAACAGCGGCGGATCCAGGATTTAAATCCTATGGGTTCAACTTTTAAAGTTTTTAGCATTAAACCCATTATATTTTAAAGCTATGGGTTCATATCTACTATTTTAGTGAATTTTTACATATAAAATTTTACTCCACGTCAAAAGTTATGGGTTCAATTGAACCTATCGGTACTACACTAACCGTCAATGTAACTATAGTGCAAACAAAGTAAGTAATAGGATATCTACAAAGCTTAAACTATTTCTTAAAAGTCTAAAACGACAAATAGAGAATATTGTCGGCAGCTAAAACATGGGGTTTTAAAGGGATAGATGCAGGGAACGGACCGACAGAAGAATAGAAACCAGAATCACATGTCTGTTTACTTTTTTTCTTCTAAGCTCTTATCAACTATCATGCTAACAATAAGGAGAAAAATAGTTTTCCAAAATTTTTAGCACTAAGGGTCTGACCTAGTGATTAATGACGTGAATTGAGAACCTGAGTTCTCTAGTTCAAATCCCAATGAAGACTCTCTTCTGTCCAAGCTTTGGTGGATAAAGTAACCTGGTACATGTTGTTGGTGGGAGTAGGAGGTAACAGGTATCTTGTGGAACTAGTAGGGGCGCGCAAGCTGGCCCAGACACAGCATTTATCAAAAAAATAGTTTCCAAAATTTTGGTCATATTGACTCATAAATAATTCTTTTCTTTTTTTTTTTGTTTTTTACAATTTAACTCATAAATTACTAAGAAGTTGTTTTACCGGATATTGCTAGATTTGAACATCACATAGGGAATATTGTTAGCAACTAAAACATAGGGTTTTAAAGCGATGATATGCCGAGAACGAGACTGAAGGGTAATGAGTAACGTGCAAGTTTTAGGAGCAAGAAGAGAAGTGTACCTTTAACTCGAATAACTCTGCCGGAGACAAACGGCGGACGACGGCAGCAAAGCAGCAGTGGTTCAAGCAGTTTTCAAGCAGCTGCAAAGTGACCGCATGTAAATTGGAATTCAATGCTATAAAATGGGCCTTAACTGGATCTGGAACCACCTTGGATCCAAAAGCCCAGAATGAATAGGGTGTGACCCTGAAGGTATCGTTTGGTTTTAGACTTTTAAGAAATAGTCTAAGCTTTGTAGATATCCTATTACTTTGTTTGTTTGCACTATAGTTGCATTGACGGTTAGTGTAGTACCGATAGGTTCAATTGAACTCATAACTTTTGACGAGGAGTAAAATTTTATATGTAAAAATTCACTAAAATTACAAAAATAGTAGATATGAACCCATAGCTTTAAAATATAATGGGTTTAATGCTAAAAACTTTAAAAGTTGAACCCATAGGATTTAAATCTTGGATCCGCCGCTGTTGACAGTATAAAAAGTATTTATACAATCAGGTCATTTATAAGGTTATTATAGGTAAATCTGTATGATAGTCATTAATTCGTAACCTTGTAAAAATGGTAACTAACCTATTATCTAGGAGTGGCAAACGGCCGGGTCGGATCGGATATGGTTCGGGTCGAAAACGGATAATAAAAACTGATTAATTATCTGACCCGACCCATATTTAATACGGATAAAAAACGGATTAATCGGCAGATAATATGGGTTACCCATATTATCCATGACTTCTTGTATATGATCACTTTTGGAAGAAGTCTTAGTCTCCCTAACTTGAGTAACCTCCAATTTGAGGCTTTACAAATGTAAAAGTTAGACTCATTGGTTATCCATCTTCTAAATGGATAATATGGTTCTTATCCATATTTGATCCATTTTAAAAAAATCCATTATCCAACCCATTTTTTAGTGGATAATATGGGTGGTTAACTGTTTTCTTTGAACCATTTTGCCACCCCTACTATTATCACGCATAACGTAAAACATACAAAAGTAATTGGTAACCTAGTAAAAATTATAACCAACCTATATCACAGGTTAAAATTCACAGAAATAACTTAAACCCATCTTGGAATAACAAAATTAACAATGAAATAGCTTGATAAGATGTTTTGGGAATTTTGTTCTGCTAAGTTTCCATTCAAGCAAACAATCCCTAATAGCTTTAGCCATATTTTCACCCTTATGACTAGTGATAGGGCAAAAATTTAGTATTCTTTTATGCAACTTCCAATCCCTATCAATGAAGTGGGCTCTTCAAACACATATAATTTATTCTTTGTAATGAAGTCCATGTGTCTGTTGTGAAGCAAATTTTTGGTTGTGCTTCTCTAAAAGAACTTCTTAGATTTTGCTTCAATTCACAGTAAACTTCATAACAATCCCTTGTTATTGTTCTACTAGAAGGAAGACGAAATAGTGGTTGAGTTTTTCTCATAAACTTCATAAAGCCTTCATTTTCTACAAAGCTAAATGGTAGTTCATCAATAACTATCATCTCAATTAAGGCCGTCCTAACCACTGTTTGATCAAATTTCCAAATTGATCCTTCATCATTTTGGCAAGATTGAAAATTTATCTTTGTTTGACTATTATCTTTAGCAATGTTAAGAGGGTATTCTTTGCATCTAAGCAAATAATTCTTCAATCCTGTTGTTCCATTCTTAGATGAATTAGCGGCATAAGCTTGTTTACAATATCGACACCGTGCTTTCCCAACCCCATTAACCTCAAATTTATCAAAATGGTTCCAAACGCCAGACCTAGGTTGCATGGCTTTCCTTTTCTTGGAATCTTGAGTATCAATGGTGTTGGTATTACTATCTACCGTAATAGGTAAACTTTCGCTTGAACCAACATCACTTACTCTACTTGTATCTGCCATCTATACAAAATTAAAAAATATAAACATAAATTAACAATCAGCTAAAAGATGCTAACAGTAACACTAGCAGTTCTTTATGCTAACAATCAATATACATAATTTATATTATTCAACTCACGCTCCTTTTAACTTTTACGAGTTTCATTTTTATGCACTCACAATATAAAAGATGTTTAATAAGTACTCAGAGGTAAATTTTTAAATAAATATTATAATAATTGATAACTTCATAAAAATAATAACTTACTTGGTATCGTATACTATTAAACTACACAGAATATAGTGTAAAAAATATAGACAATGTCAAGAAACACTATTTTAAAACAAATTGATATTAAAAACTATTTCCTGTTATGTTCTTAATGAGGAAAGAAACATGCTTTGCAATTAATTGGACTTCTCCGTCCAGCAGTTTATCAACTTTTTTTACACACACACACACACTCCAACATTGTCCTAAAACCAGAGAAAATGTACCTATATCACCCTGAATTCCATGCGAAACCATAGAATGCCCTATTCACTAATAAGAGTTCAAGGAAACAACATTTTCATGAGGCCCACTCAGTGTGAGTGACATTTATTTTCTTTCTTTTATTAATAATACCTGGTTTAATTGTAGTTCCTAATGAATACAATTAAAGAAGGGGCTTGTTCATTGATCTTGTAATTCTCGTCATATGTTTCTGGTTCCCTATAATTCTCCTCTGCTGTCCCTGGTTGTGTGGTTTAGTAAAATCATTCAAAAAACAGCATCCGCAAGCATATGTAATGGATTCTGTGACACAGAAACAACACCAGCTTCTTAAGTATGAACTGCAGTTTTTTGCTTCTCCTTTGCTGCAACATTAACCACTCAATTGAGCAGCTTTTAGCATTGTTGTTGGAGACATTCTTTTACCAGCTTTTGGCCTCTTCCTTTTGCTTCTCTTTCCCTTATTTCCTCTTGGGGAAGGACCCCGAAACCAAAGGGCTCTACTTTTTTTGTTCTCCCAATACTCACTTTCAGCAACTTCCAGAATAAGGATATCAGATGGCACATCAATGTAATTCTCAAGATCTGGATACAAGGTCTCCTTATCGCTCTTGAAAAAAATGCGGCAACGCAGCCCAAGTCGGGAAACAATATAAGTTAGTGGGTTTGGTTTGTTCAGGAAGTACCTAATGAATTAAAATTTAAGTGTTTCAAATTCTAGTGTTTCAACCAAGTCAAGTGCATATGACAATGATGCTAAAAAAGATTCAAATTCGTCACTCATTCACAAGATCTTCAATAACCGATGCAGTCAAACTCCTAAACATAAGATTATATAAACCTTAGTTCTAAAAAGTCACATGAGACAAAGTGGTCATAGCTTCTAAGCTACAGTCAAACTCCTAAAGATTAGATTATTGGTAGTTCAACCAATGTTAGTTACAAATTTCCATTGCAACGCCAATATCCAGAGCTTCAGATATTAAATAGAGAATCTAACATCTCAAAACCCTAAAGTCAGTATCTTTACTTTAGGCTCTTGCAAAAAGTTTAACTAGTATCATCAACTCAGTAGACACAGAAAAATCTTGGTATTCGACACATTGAGAATCTCAAAATTTTGCTTAAACACACAACTCTAATAATAATGTTAGTATTTCAGGGTCAGGCATTTTGAATGTTTCATGATTAAACCAATATTAGCAATTAGACCTATTGTCACGATCCAAAATCCACTAAGGGTCCTGATGGCACCGGACACCACTGTCAGGCAAGCCAACACCAAGAAATTAATAAAATTATTATTTTAGTATTTTTGAAATCATTTCCTTTCATTACATTAAACAATAAATAATAATGTCATTAACAAATTCAAATACTGAATAATCCCATAGTCATCCTAGAACCCGATGTCACAAGTACATGAGCAATTTTTAGGAAATAGATGTAATACGGTGACGGTCCGGAATATAAATTGGACAGTAAAGAAAATGCAATAAAATACTCCGAGGAGACTCTGCTGGTTGCGGGTCGTCTCGAGAGGTGCAACTCACCTAAGTCTCCGTATCAATCATGCCGCTGCGCCCAACTAGGCCACTAGACATACATGTGCCTGTGCAACAAAAATGCACAGCAAGTATAGTATGAGTACAAAAACCACGTGTACCCAGTAAGTATCCCGTCTAACCTCGAAGAAGTAGTGATGTGAGGTCGATTTCGATACTTACTAGTGGTCCAATAGTAATATATTAATAATCTGAAAAAATCATGGATTTATAAGGTAAATATAAACTCATAAAACCTGAAGCGGGTAAACAATTCCTTTAATAATAATAGATTTCCAAAGATTTATATTTCATCATTTTATCAAATTTATCTCAGGCCATGGAGGTAATATCAATTTTGTAAATCTCAAGCAAGCATTACAAGCATGCGCAAATCATGTCGAGGTCGTACGATCCAATCCAATATAGTAATAAAATGTGCACTGCCATAGGGTCGAATGACGCGAACCATAGATGCAACTATTACCCCGCTCGCGAATCATACATGCGACACGGTCAAACCTAAATATACACATTCAAACAGTCAATCAAGAATTCATCAGGGAACATTTATTTATGGAAAAGTCAATCCTCTTTTTAATGATTAAGAAAAATGAAGTTTAACCTTTTTAGAAATTCATTTACTAATTCAATATGATTTAAGCAGTTTAAATTGTCAATAAGCTTACAAATATTTCAGGTATAATATGCTTTTGGGTCCTAGATGTCACGACCCGGATTTCCCACCCTCGAGGGTCGTGATGGCGCCTACTAATGTGAGCTAGGCAAATCGAATATTTAACAAATTACCTCTTTACCCATTTTATACTTTTAACAATTAAAAACAATAACGTGAAAACAACGAAAAAATTGAAAATAAGCGGAAGAAAAGCAATAGAATATCTGAACATGTATCCAAAACAACTGTTTGAGCCTCAACTACCCAGAACTGGTGTTACAGTACCAGAGACGATCTAAGAATGCTACATACAAAGTCTAAAAATAAACGATACACTATTTCTGAATTAAGGATATGAAACATGAATAAAGGAAGGATAAGAGGTGTCGCCAAGGCCCGCGGACGTCTGTAGGACTACCTTGGGTCACCTGTGTGGACTGACTACAGCACCCCTACTGCGGTCCAAGTGCTCCGGTATCGATATCTGCACACAGTGCAGAGTGTAGTATCAGCATAACCGACCCCATGTGCTGGTAAGTGCCTAGCCTAACCTCAGCGAAGTAGTGACGAGGCTAGGATGAGAATATCAAATAACATGTGTAGTTAAATCATATACAACGGGAA